TTATACCAGTGTTTGAGAGTCATGGGTATAGAAAATGTTTATGCTATGGCTTGAGCATAGTTTGTGTGTTTTCCCAAAAGATAACTTTGCTGGAAGCTTAGCCCCCAGTTTGTGTTGAGGTGATAGAACTTTTAAGAGGGAGGGCCCAGAGAAGACATTTAGGTTATAGAGGTACTGGCTGGAGAGGCATTAATGGCGTTCTTGAGTAAGAATAACCTGTCCTCTTAAGACCATGCTGTTATAAAGCCAGACCACTCTAAATGCTTGTGGGCCCTTCTGCAGCAGACTATTCCCCTTTAGGCTTTATGGTCATATTATGATTCAGTCAGTGGGGCTCTTAAAAAAGTTGAACCTGATATGGCTGCCCAATTTTGGATTTTCAGCCTCCAAAACTGTGAATAAATACCCTTTTTTTTTGAGAGGGTCTCTCTGTAGCCCCAGCTGGCCTTGAACTCACAGAGATCTGCCCTCCTCTGCCTCCCGAGTGCTGGGATTTTAGGGCGAGCACCACCATGCCTTTCTTATACAGCCTGGGCTCATCTGTCTAGGGATGGCACCACCCACAGTGGGCTGGGCCTTCCCATGTCGATTAGCAATTAAGAAAATGCCCCAAGAAAAGCCCACAGGCCAGAGTAATGCAGAAAACTCTTTGAGATTCTTCTTCCCTGGTGTGTCAAGGCTTTTGTCAAGATGACAAAACTAACAGAAGTTCCTAGATTCAAGTGGGGCAGGGGGAGAAACAGATGATAGATGATAGATAGATAGATGATAGATAGATAGATAGATAGATAGATAGATAGATAGATAGATAGATAGATAGATAGATAGATAGATAGATAGATAGATAGATAGATAGATAGATAGATAGATAGATAGATAGATAGATAGATAGATAGATAGATAGATAGATAGATAGATAGATAGATAGATAGATAGATAGATAGATAGATAGATAGATAGATAGATAGATAGATAGATAGATAGATAGATAGATAGATAGATAGATAGATAGATAGATAGATAGATAGATAGATAGATAGATAGATAGATAGATAGATAGATAGATAGATAGATAGAT